AGATCAATGACCAAAATGAGTAATATGGAAAGGAAACAGACCAAATTAGTTGATAATATATCAGATTGACAGAAATCAATTAGCAAATACAGGATCTTAGACATGTATTATAAATATTTACAAGAAAATTTTTACTTTATAAGATTATTTGTTAAAATTTCAACCTGGCTATCATATTGAAAGCAACTTTTGTATTTTGTCATTAATAATTACTATGATGTATATAAAATTTGATTGGTTTTATTTTCAGTTTAGTTTTGATATTTGTCCAACTGCAAGTGTCATATAAAACTGAAAGGAAGCAGATACAATGTGATTCAAACATTTTTTATGAGATAGCCAGTATTGCCTTGTTGCATCATTCACAAAATCGGCGTTAACTCATAAACATTGTCTCAGTCACACATATTTCCTTATTTCAGTGTTATATCATCACTTCAGTGCAGTAATGTATTATCCATATATAATTTAATAGAAATTAACCCGTTATTGCACCTATGTGACAATATGACACAAGTTGATTGGCAAATGTCTCAGGAATATAAAAAATAATAACATAAAATGAATTTGTTTATGTTAATAAAGAATTATGAAACACAGTAATAGCCAGGTCATCATTTACACTAATGATCTTGAAGAAAAAACAAACTCTTTCCTGAAAACATTTTAATGAGGTTTAAAATATAATGTCTAACCATGATGCTAGATTTGGTCATAGATTTGCACAATCTTGCATTACTATTGCCCTATTCCACCTTTATAGTCACATTTCTACCTGACTGGATATATACGGTGTAATCATGAATTATGTTTTGATGGTTATTTTTCAAACTTGATAAAAGAAGTCCATTTTGATACATTAATAAGCATGGTCTTAAAAGAATGTTTAACTTTAACATAGACAAATATAGAGAATATATTCAATCAATCGACCAAGGTGTTAACCAAGATGTAAATGAAATTCTGTTGAGCATGATACGGCCATTATTACATTCTTGATTGAAGCTATGGATAAGATGTTTATTATCAACTTATTTTCATGTAAAGTGTGATTTTTTACAGGAAATGGGTGCAGCCCACGAAGGTAGCGCACAGGAAGGTCAGACAGAGGTAACGTTACTACATGTATATTACTATACATTTATGATCGTCTTTGATGAGACGTTGAAACTACTGACCATAAATTATTTTAATGAAAAGAAAAAAATTAATACAAATACCTGACTTCAGATTTTTTTCAAGGAACATCTCATAATTTTATGTTGTTCAGCCATGACTAGATTAAAAACTTAGTCAACTAGGCTCCTTCCTCTTTCATTAGCTGTTAAAACTGCAAGTACCAGTATGTATTGGATGAAGTTATTTTAAATACTTTAATATATGATATAATGTGGAGAAGGTATTATTTGAAAATTATGATTATTTATGATTATGAATTAGAAATTCTGAATTAAGGAAATTATGACATTTTAATGCAGCAAAGGGCTTCTTTTTATTTGAATTTTGTTTTTCAGGCCCCATCAAGAGATGACAAAATAAATACCCATTTTATTGCCTTTGTTTGTAAAGGCTCTGATCTTTATGAACTTGGTAGGTACATTTCACTTTCATATGTATTTTGTTTTTATGTCCCTGCTTTAAAAAATGACCCTTTATGATTGTGAGCTCATTAGTTCAAAGGTATAGGTTGAAATGACTCTTTGTTTTCACAGTAACTGCAGAAGGAATATTCAATAAACTTTGACCTATGAAACTTGGTAGGGACATTGCTTATGGCTAGGAAACAACCCCTATAAAGGTTGAGGTCATCTGGACAAAGGTCAGGGACACAGTGACATTTGTGAAAAATGCTTGACCAATAATTTTAAGTAAATAGAATTCTTCTAGCTACAGACTACACTAAAAAAAAAGACACTTATTTACAAAAAAAAACACAAGGTGGTGGTATGGATGTTTGGAGAAAATAAAACAAGATATCACTGTCCAGTAAGATTATCTGTTATATTAAGGGAAAGAGGAATTAATATTGAATAAAAACTGAGAAGCTGTTGTCATTTGTTAAATATTATAAAACAAATAAAATAATCTCATGATTAGATGATGAATCACATGCGAGATCAAAGCCTCCAGGTCAAAAATCAAATTCTCATATATATTTTTCATCTTAAGTGCATTTTTTTCTTTCACATAACTTCTGCATGTATTACCAAATATTGGCATTAGTAAAATATGTGTAATGTACAAGACCCGTGTCACTATGCCAAAATGAAGGTCTCAGCAGAGCTTTGGACTTTGTGTATTTCTAATCTATTCTGAGTGAAGATTTTAAATGTTACTTTTTCAAAAGTCTTGATAATACTAACTATATTTTCATTACTCATTCATGTTAATAGATGCTTTTCACATAGCAATTATAACCTCCCTTGGACATAGCAATTATAACCTCCCCTGGCCACAATTTTGAGGGTCATTCCCAATATGTTACATGCCTAAGATAAAAATGAAAATAAAAGTAAAAATAAAATAAGACAAGAAATCTCTCATAATTCTATCATCTTCACATAAAACGGATAAAAATCTTTTATGCTGTGTTCTCACTGCCGATCAGATCAAGCACGATCAAGTGATCGGGTACCGGTCTAGCTCGGTCTGCATGCGTGATCGGGGGTGATCGGAGCAGTCTACCTTGGTCGGCATGGCTCGGGCTTCTTACCCGAATTTTTTTGACATGTTTTAGCCACCCATTTGCGGCGTTGGGGTCCCATAACTCTGATTTGCTTTTTTGCATAAATATGCCCCTTTTTCAACTTAAAAATTCTTGGTTAAGTTTTTGTGTGTAAGCAAGTATCTCCATAACTACTGAAGGGAATGGATTGAAACTTCACACACTTGTTCTCTGTGATAATCTAACATGATTGGCACAAGTTTGCTTTTTTGCATAATTATGCCACTTTTTGTGTCGCTTGAAAAAGGCGACATATAGGTGTTACTTTTGTCGGCGGCGTCGGTGTCGGTGTCGGCATCGGCGTCCCCTTAAGCTTGTCCGGAGCATAAGTCAGTCATTATAAGTCGGATTGACTTCAAACTTGGTATGCATGCTTCTTACAATGACTCGAAGTGCAGTGCACAAGAACTGGTACTGTGCACTTGTTATTTTTTGAGTTATTGCCCTTTGTTAATTTTCATACTTTATTTTTGTCCGGGCCATTTCTCCTAAAGTATCAAATCTATGGACTTGAAACTTCATAGGATGATAGATCTCATTAAGAAGAAGTGCAGTGCACAAGAACTGGTACTCTGCATTTCTTATTTTTTGAGTTATTGCCCTTTGTTAATTTTCATACTTTATTTTTGTCTGGGCCATTTCTCCTAAAGTATAAAAGCTATGGACTTGAAACTTCATAGGATGATAGATCTCATTAAGAAGAAGTGCAGTGCACAAGAACTGGTACTCTGCATTTCTTATTTTTTGAGTTATTGCCCTTTGTTAATTTTCATACTTTATTTTTGTCCGGGCCATTTCTCCTAAAGTATAAAAGCTATGGACTTGAAACTTCATAGGATGATAGATCTCATTAAGGAGAAGTGCAGTGCACAAGAACTGGTACTCTGCATTTCTTATTTTTTGAGTTATTGCCCTTTGTTTATTTTCATACTTTATTTTTGTCCAGGCCATTTCTCCTTAAGTATAAAAGCTATGGACATGAAACTTCATAGGATGATAGATCTCATTAAGAAGAAGTGCAGTTTTCAAGAACTGGTACTCTGCATTTCTTATTTTTTGAGTTATTGCCCTTGTTAATTTTCAAACTTTATTTTTGTCCAGGCCATTTCTCATAAATTATAAAAGCTTTAGACTTGAAACTTAGTAGGATTATAGATCTTATTGATAAGAAGTGCAATGCACAGAAACTGCTGCTCTGCATTTCTTATTTTTTTAGCTATTGCCCTTCGTTGATTTTCAAATATCATTTTTGTCCTGGCCATTTCTCCAAAAAATATTGTTCACAAGGCGACACATCCGACTCGGGGAGTTCTAGTTCAACTTAGAAATCCTTGGTTAAGTTTTTGCTTGTGAGCTGGTATCTCCATAACTACTGAAGGGTTTGTGCCTTTTTGTGACAATTTTATGCATTCATAATAATAAAGCAGTGATTTACTCTGTACCCTTTCGGACAATTTTATGTATTCATATAGGTAAGCATTATTATACTCAATAAAAAAAAACAAGGTGACAACTTTTTCGAATAGTCGAGCGCCACTGTCCTCGACAGTTCTTGTTTTTCATATTTTGTCAATTATATTGAAGGAAGGTACATATTGTAAAAATCAGGAACTATCTATATTTGATCCAAATCTAATAATGCAAGGTTGCATTGCCTTTAAACTTAAATATATACACCATAAAAAAGATTATGTATATTTGCAAACTTAAAGTGGCATCAGTGTGTTGGTTTGATTATGTGTTTCATAGCACACAGTTACTCATTCTGGAAGGGAGATAATTTAGGTATAATTATTGAAATGAAATAAATCTTGTTACCTCCCTTCATTTATTAAAGGCCTTAATATTTTTTATTGCAGACGGTAGAAAAACTGGACCAGTATTACATGGAAAAACAACCCCAGACACTTTACTTGAGGTAAATGTTGTTTCTCTCTTTCTTGGATTGCTATATATTTTTGTGCTAAAATGGAGTTGTGCCTATACAGTCATTTACCTTGACAGAGATGAATAAATGTTTGACAACAAAATATGACCGAATATAATATGTTGAAACAAAGATTTTTACAAAATGATTTTATTCACCTTTTTTAACCAGGTTTTCAATTTTGAAAATCCTGGTTATTAGATTGGGGTATGGCGGGCGGATGGGCGGATGGGCGGGCATCAAACGAAATTGTGTCCGCTCTGTAACTCTTCAACCCTTTGAAGAATTTTGATGAAACTTCAGACAAATGTTTACCACATCAAGATGACGTGCAGAACGCATGTTCCGCATGGCTGGCTCCAAGGTCAAGGTCACAGTGACATTAACATTGAAAATCCTGTCCGCTCTGTAACTCTTCAACCCTTTGAAGAATTTTGATGAAACTTCAGACAAATGTTTACCACATCAAGATGACGTGCAGAACGCATGTTCCGCATGGCTGGCTCCAAGGTCAAGGTCACAGTGACATTAACATTGAAAATCCTGTCCGCTCTGTAACTCTTCAACCCTGTGAAGAATTTTGATGAAACTTCAGACAAATGTTTACCACATCAAGATGACGTGCAGAACGCATGTTCCGCATGGCTGGCTCCAAGGTCAAGGTCACAGTGACATTAACATTGAAAATCCTGTTTATCAATGATTTATTTCATGAAATATTAGAAAAGACTTTTTCTTAAAACAATTAATTGATATTTAACCAGGTTTTCCGAAGGAAAAAACTGGTTATTAGATTGAGGTATGTCGGCGGGCGGATGGGCGGGCGGGCGGATGGGCGGGCGTAAACAATTTCTTCTGTGTGCAACTCCTTCTACATTTCTCAACGGATTTTGACCAAACTTTCACATAAGCTTTGTCATCAAGTGCCCTGGCGCATATTGTCAGGGTTTTGCAATTGGATAATAATTGACCTAATTATGGCCCTTTGTTTTTTTTCCTTATATAGAATATATAGTGAACAATTCCTTCTGTGCGCAACTCCTCCTACATTTCTCAACGGATTTTGACCAAACTTTCACAGAAGCTTTGTCATCAACTGCCCTGGGGCATATTGTCGGGGTTTTGCGATTGGATTATATTTGACCTAATTATGGCCCTTTGTTTTTTTTCCCTTATAAAGAATATATTATAAGTGAACAATTTCTTCTGTGCGCAACTCGTCCTTCATTTCTCCATGGATTTTGACCAAACTTTCAAAGAACCTTTGTCACCAAGTGCCCTGGCGCATATTGTCAGGGTTTTGCGATTGGATAATATTTGACCTAATTATGGCCCTTTGTTTTTTTTCCTTATATAGAATATATAGTGAACAATTTCTTCTGTGTTGAACTCCCTCTACATTTCTCAACAGATTTTGACCAAACTTTCACAGAAGCTTTGTCATCAAGTGCCCTCAGGCGCATATTGTCAGGGTTTTGCGATTGGATAATATTTGACCTAATTATGGCCCTTTGTTTTTTTTCCCTTATATTAAGAATATATAGTGAACAAATTTTTCTGTGCTGAACTCGTCCTACATTTCTCAACGTATTTTGTTCAAACTTTCACAGAAGCTTTGTCATCAAGTGCCCTGGCACATATTGTCGGTGTTTTGTTATTGGATAATTTTTGACCTAATTATGGCCCTTTGTTTTTTTTCCTTATACAAAATATATAGTGAACACTTCTTTAGTGGCAATTCTTCCTACATTATTCATGTTTTACATTGCACATAGTTACATTGTTTGTTGCTTGTATTTGTATTTCAAATACAACATATTTATCTACAATGGTGATAATTGAAAACCTGGTTTCATGGCATTGCCATGTTTCTTGTTTATTCTTCTTATTATTTTGTGAGGGTAACAAGGGAAGACATTATTTTGTCCCGTGGTTTAACCATTGGCTGTCATGTTTTGGTTTTTTATGGCAATTGACCATAGTATGTCCAATGCTAATGGATCATTGTATATGAATTTATGTAGAAATGCTGAAAAGAATTTTTAGCACTTACATAGATACAAGGAATATTCAAACTATAAACAAATGTTCTTCAATATAGGACTGTATTTTATTTGAGATTTTCATGTTAAACTTCTACCCAAACATAAGTTGATCAATATTTGGTTGTTAAGTCATATAAACATGGAAAAGGTCAGATAGTGACTTTTCAGTTTTTGCTGGAAGAAGACCGCTGGTATCCACAAGTAGACACCAGATTAGAACTGCCATCTTTCCTTAAAAAATCTAGATGGGTTCTTGATATTGAAAATCACAAATTACTTGGCAGGATTTAAATCCACAGCAATGAGAGACAAATCATTGAAAGTCTGTAACCATACTTTAGCACAGAAGTGAGATAACTTAAAAAGGTAGAGATTACAAATTCTTCCATATTTAGAACTGTTTTGCTATTTGTATATCTCATACAAACAGAAATTGTGTATGAATAGGAAATAATGATACAGTATTAGAATTTGTTAGATTTTTTAAGCCTTCTATAATCTTATTATGTCTTTTTAAATAGCTGACTGGTTAAATATAAATTTGGAAAGAAAATAGAAACTCATCTCAATTTCATGGCTATCAGTTTTAATTTTACTGTACTAGCCAGTGCTTTAAAGGTGCATGCCTCCAGATTGGCCAGAAATATTTCATGAAAATCAAACTGGAGAAAATGTACTATGATTTTAAGAAAAGTTAATATATTCAAGTAACAGTTTACATGTTATGTGCGATTAATGGCTGACTTTGCTGTATTAATCACCATATTACTACAGTGTGACAAACACACTAACAGTCAATGAATTTCAGATTTTGAATTTACTAGCCCAAATTCCAGTTTTGGATTTATTCTACTATATATTTAATTAAATTTTCTTAAAATTTTCACTGGCCCAAACTTATTTTCACTGGCCATGGGCCACCAGACCAGTGCTAAATTCGATGACTGCACTAAGGGCTATTTTTGCATATTTTGACCTAGTTTCGGTAATTTATGTTGATTGTAAGTGCTAATTGAAATGTGTAAATTACTATCTTTGTTCATTTGACAATATTCTACTTTTAAATACATTTTCAAAATTTTTATGATGATAATCATGAATCTGGTGGCATGCTGAGTTAAGGTGGACTTTTGTGAATTTTTATATTCCTATTGTGATAATGTTGATAACAGACAAGTGTGTGAGTTCACCATAGCACAACATGCTCAAAGTGACATATAGTGATAGCTAACCTCAAAGTGAGATCTTAGTGGTAGCTAACCACAGCACAACAGCCCAAAGTGAGATATTGTGGTAGCTTACTAGTACCTTGTTTGTCATTGTTAATAATTTTTATGCCCCTACTTAGCATAGATTTGCCCTTGTCCATCTCTCACGATGTCTTGTTGTCACACTGCCTGTCTTTAAACTGATGAAACAATTGATTGCATGGGCAACTGATCCCTTAAGACAAATTAGTAGTTTTGAAACTACATCTTTTAAATTTAAACCAAAATTAAATACAGTCAAAACTGCCCGATCGGCCACCTTTAAAAAAGCGCCACCTGCCTAAGTGCGCCATCTCTGGACATCCCCAATGTAAATTACTATATATTTGTCTCTTAAAAGACGGCCACCTGCTCAACGCCCCCAACGGCCACCAATTTTCATCCCCAAATAGCCAAATTACCAGATCACATGGCCAGTACAAGAACGTTTGTCGCCAATTTGAATCCAATATTTTTTCTGTACCATACCATTTTCGTACCGTTTTACATTAATTTTTACCAGTAGTTGGTAAATTTGTTTGTAAGTTTGAAAAATAACTTGTTTAAAATGTGTTTTGTTGGAGTAAAATGTTTTTGATATACCGGTACATGTTTTTTTCGAAAGTAAACGAAAGTAAAGTGAAATTATAATTGTGCGTAGAAATTTCTTTTAAATTAACCACATTAACGAAATCTAACTGCAAAGCAAAATTTAAGCTGTCCAATTTATTAAGTTGAAACTATGTCTAATAATCGCTAATCCGATTGTTTTGAAGACGTGTCAACATACACGTGTAATATGGTCACTGTATCAATCTAATATACGCCGCGGGGCATGACCTTTCTTTGTTTGCATAATCATCGTCACATAAATCGTATAGTGGTAGCTATTTATTGTCACAAATCAAAGCGTTACTCGGCAAATTTCTTCGTTTGTATTGAAAACAACTTGAACTTGTTTTTAATCTCCTTTTGTATGAATAAAATGTAATTGATATCTTTTCCTAAAGTTAAGGGAGTTGAAAGAAATTAAATTGAATCAATAACTGAGCATAGTTAACTTTGTATGTCCGACGTTTTTCTATTTCAATTCTAGACTTTTTTAAACAAAAATAATGTGCCAAATTACTTTTACTATACAATGTATATCTGACTACCTGACTTTAATTTTAAAATGAACATTTAACACTTTTTATCAATTACATGTATATGTTCTTCTTAACATTAGATTTTTAACATTACATATCAAATTCTATGTTTTAAATGTTTTATCTAAAAATAAAAACTGAAATCATTGCAAATCATGGTGTTTTATGTCATATCTAAAAAATAGTTAAAAATAGTCACTTTTCCTAGCCAGAGTTCAGCCTGGATAAGAGAGCCACCAGTCCTGTATAAGAGAGACACTTTTACAAATTCCCAATACTGTCTCTCTTATACAGGTTTGACTGTACCAGCCAGTCTTCACAACAATGAGTGACAGGTGTTCCCTGTATTTTTACATGAAGTGAGAACATTTTTAAGATTCTTCCTGAGATGTTATGACCTTATTCTTAGATTATACCTTTTTGGTTTTGTTTTATGATCATTTATCAATTCTCTTAAATTGTTTAGGTCAGAGTTTTGTTTGTTTTATGATAAGCTATTGTTTTTACATCACTTTGAAGTATTTTGCAATATTTTAAATGATTAATGATTAATATATTTACTTGATTAATGAAAATATAGTCAATCAATCTATATATTGAGAAGTAAACCTAATACTGCTGATTTTGTTGCATACTGACCTTGTCCAGTTTTTAATTTAAAGCCATCCATTATAAAATAAAGCAAAAACTAAGCACCCAGCAGTCATGTTTGGCTACCTCGACTATATTAAGATAGTACACAACATTGAGGACGCTTAAACAGTGTATGGTCGATCATTCTGCACATAAACATTTAACAGCTGAAGTCTATTCATGGGGAAGTCTCTGTAAATGCTATTGTGTGCTATTTCTAAAGTACTAAACATGTAATAAAGCAAAATGGAAGAAGTACTTGAGGGAAAGAAATAAAATTGCTTAAACAGCAGTATTTAAAAATCAAAGCACAGAAGGCGCTGAATTTGTTTGGGTCTCAGAATGTAAGAAAGGTGCATGTTGTGAGATTATATGTTTAGTGCCACCAATGCTTTCCAGCGTTTTAATTGTAGTAAATTGGCTATAAGACTAATTGCAACACTGATATTCAATCCAATGTTTATTTGACTTTAACAATTTAAAAAAATGAGTTACCTTTACTGGGATTTGAACTCCAGACCTCTCGCTTCCTAAGCGAGCCCGAAAACCCTTCAGCCACGGTTAAATTTATATGTGAACGGCCTGAAGAAAACCATATTATTCTAAATTAGGGCTTGTAACGACTTTTAACTGTTGTTTAACACAGATGTAAATAATCCTGAAGCTTACTATAAGCATGTATATTTATAAAGAATCAAAGGGCTTCAAGTTCTTTGGTATTTTCTGATCTTTGCAATCTAAATCGTACTGTATATCTGTATGAATTTTCCTGTATAAGTTTATTTTTATGTATTATAATTCATTTTGTAAGTCACAATACGGAATTCTGCATAACTAGAGTTGCATCAAAAAATCATTTATGTACTTTTTTTACGACAGCCACACTTTATCCTTGTAAATCATGGCTACTTCCTTAACAAAAACAATTAAAAATAGAATTTAACAAAAAAAAAAAATTTCCTCGACTGGGATTCGAACTCGAGACCTCTCAATCTCTAAGCGAGCGCGTTACCACTGTACCACGGAGAAGTTATACACAGTATGTTTGAATTATATCAAGTGATTCTAAATTTAGAACTTCCATTGCATTCAGGTTTGTAATCCTTATTAATTTCGAGGTATTTTGTTCAGGGTAAATCTGTCGTTTAAAATTGAAGTAAATATTTTAGCGAAAATCCTCTCGCCCAAACAGTCCGACATGTAGAATCTATATATTCCACTACTCGGTTTGTGTAGTATTCGGTAATCTACATGGCTAAAAATAGTATTTTTCATTGATAAAATCATATTCATCCGCGTAATTTGTGATTGTGCATTTATTGACAATTCTATAAGCCAACGCTATTGTTTAACTTTAAATGCGTTTGTAATTTGTTGGATACTTGTAACAAAATAAAATATTTCTTTCTTTTAAATCGCTAGTTTTAAGCTGTTTTGAGAACTACTTGTTGTTAGGTTTGTCATAAACTTCTGTGTCAGAGATTGAATGTCCGCTTTGTATTTAGTTATTTTCGATCAGAAAATACCAGAAAACAATATTAGAAATCTTCGACCATTCGGGAATTACTTTGCTTAAAAATTGATGCGCC